GCTGTGATCATGGCTCTGTGGTCTGTCTATCCCCTGTGCCTGTCTTGAGAGGGTCTCAGTGTTGAGGCGGGCCAGTCTTCTTCCTTCTGAAACTCAAGCTCAAGGCAAGAGAAGTATGGACTGAACGGCTTGTTCAGGTGCCAGAAACAAGAAGTTCACACACAAAGATCTTCTTTTGGAAAGAGCTGTGTGCCATCAGCGTGGGGTCTGTGGAGCTGGTGGGGAGATGGGAGGAGCTGGGACACAGTGGGGTGCCACACCAGGACTGGCCATCATTGCTAACTCAAGACCCTGCTCCCAAACCCCAGGGTTAGCTCCTTCCTCCATGACGTGGAAGATGTCCCGGATAGACTTCTGAGGAGAGGGCAACTAGGCTTAAGAATAACTATCGGGGGCTCAGAAGTGAGGCAGGGCTGAGAGCAAGAACAGCACCAGCCCTGGGTACCACACTCTCCCCACTTCAGTCCTTCACAAAAGGACACACTCTGCTCAGGATGGATCTGGTCCATGAGGCCCAGGGGATGGAACACAGATTGGGACAGTAGCGAGGTGAAGAAAGGGCAGAGAGCCACCGTGTGTGGAGGACAACAGGAAAGGGAGAGAAAGAGACAGAACATCTAAACGCAAAGCTTCTTATCTGAAAGCCTGGGGGATCATAGCAACATCTGTACAAACAGAAAACATCCGCGTGCAGTTTTGCCATGTGGTGTTTGGTTGGGGTGCAGGCCAGGTATTCATCTGGATGGGTAGGTTTGGGTTTCGTTGTTTTAATTGACTGCCGTTAAGTCCATTTTGACTCACAGTGACCCCATAGGGCGGGGTGAATTGCCTCAAAAGGTTTCCAAGGATGTGCATGTTTTCAGGGGCAGAAATTCTCATCTTTCTCCTGTGAAACGGCTGGTGTCCTTGAACTGCTGACCTTACAATTAGCAGCCCAATGAGTAACCCACAATGCTACCAGAAGGTGGGAAACAAAGGCCTCCCAAAATAATAAAAGAGTGAGCGTGGGGAGTCATCTGCCTAGAGATGATGTTCAGGTAGAGGGAAAGATAGCAAAATGATAATTAGATGAAGGATACACTTTGGGGGAACATCCTTATTTTAAAAACAAAACAAAAACTGCCATCGAATCAATGCCAATTGGTAGTGACCATATTAAAAGAGTAGGCTAGTTGAGTCAAGTTACTTAGTCCTGCTGTGCCAGAGTGGCTTTAAAGCACATAATTTAATTTCTTCACCATTCTAAAGGCAACAGGTTTAAATCAGAGTCTCGGCCATGTCCATTGTGTCTGTGGGCCTCTCTCCTCATTTTGGATATTGGCTGGCAATCCTTGGGGTTCCTTTGCTTGTGGGCAGGCCCTCACCTGGTACCTGGCATCCTCCTGTATGTGTTTCTGTAACTCTTCTGGTTTTTTTGGAAGACACTTCTCAAAAGCAATTAGGTTTAGGACCCACCTGCCTCTGATGTGACCTCACTAACATAGCAAAAGAAAGCTATCTCCTCTCTTGAAGTTGTTGAAGTGAAGAATGTTTTAGGTGTGTATTTCTGCCAAAATTTAAAAAAAAATTACATGGATAGCTAATGAGTACAAGGAAGTAGAATATGTCCTAAAATCTATTATCATAAAGATTGTACAACTCTTCTTGATATGGCTGAACTATTGAATTGTATGATATGTGGATGAGGTGCCAATAAAACTGTTTAGAAAATGATTCGTAAGGTGTTGCTAATCCTCAAGAAGGCTTGGGGGCCTCGTGGATAACACATCATGCTGTTATCCTCAGAGTCAGCAGTTCGAAACCACCAGAAAGACGGGGCATTTGACTACCATAACGCGTTACAGTCTCAGAAACTCACAGGGGAAGT